GCACGTGGGCTCGCTAGAAAGAGAGAGACGGAGAGACAAAAAGCGAGAAATCACCCCCAAGGGGGGATGGCCACGCCACAATCCCTTCTCCTCCATTATTCTCTTGGGATCTTGGGCACGCTTGCACACGCGCCCAGCATAGGTTTAAGTCACTGGGTCTGGGACTCAAACCGCGGTCGACTACATGGGAGTTCAGTGACATAGCCATTACGCTAACTGCTGGTCCCAGTCCAGGCCATCTTTTAATTCCCTTGGTTCAATGTGGGTTTTGTGCTACAGGTCTCTTTAATTCAGATTAATTTTTCTTATATCCTACTGCCCTTGATACGGTAGTTATGTTACAGATTCTGGGGCAGGGGGATCCAGATACTAGAAGGGTCCTTGTTTAATGAAAAGGAAGGTTAGCTAAGTGTAGAAGACAAAATGACCAACACATAAAAAGGTGGGGAATGGGCCCCTGTCACTGCTGTGTCTGCTGCTCATGGGCGAGGTCTGCCCTCATTCCGAAGGCGGCCATGGTCCATCTCAGAAGCCTGGGCATGCTGCCCTCATCACCACAGGCCTGGACATAGTGCAGGAAAGACGAAGCACGAAGCTTGCTCTGTCCAGGCCCTTGAAGAATCCCAGTGAGTCCTAAGGGAGCAGCCTCTTATTTCTCTTCCTCAGTTTCTGCCCAATGGGACCCAAGCTAGCGAGCTTTCCTGAGAAGAACTGGCAGCCTGAACCCCTCCAGGCCCTCTGACAGTCGCCATATGCTCTAATCCCTTTGCCCAGGCTCTGCAGGGCCCAGCTCTTCCTGTCACCCAGCCAATGGAGTCACAGCAAATGGGCGTACATCTCATGCAGCCAGTAAGAAGTGGTGGGCGTGGAGCTACATGGCCCCTCCCACAAAGGCTGTAGGCGCCATTACGTGTTTGTGGGCTCCAACCCTGCTTTTGCTCAGGCGGTGGAAGGGCTCTTCTGTGAGATTCCCTCCAGGATGCTCACTGGTGGTTCAGTCCCATCTCATAGACGGTAAGGAGTAGAAACAGGAGGCCACTCTCCGACGGCCACTGTGATTCGAGGACCTCGTGCTTCGTGTGTCGCACTCGGTACTCAGGTCTGCGGTGAGAAAGGCACCATGCTCAGGCTTCTGAGACAGGCCATGGACTTCTTCCGAAGGAGGACAGACCCCACCCAGGAGCAGCAGCCACAGCAGGCAGAGTTCCCAAAAGGTACCCTTCTCTGTGTTCTCTTATCTTACATGCATGGAGTCTCCCCCAAGGGGAACTCCTCACCCCGAGACCAGGCTGTCACACGATGGGGTGGCATGCATGAGGACATGGGAGGTGGGGAGGGCCCAGGTCCTCACATGCCTGAGACCTTAACTGGCGACAACTAGGCCCCAAACTGTCACGCCTCTCTAAAGCGGAAAGTTATTGGTTGAGAAGGCCCTGATGGACTGTAGTATTCCTGCGTTTCCTCATGTGCCTCGTGCACCCAGTGTCTTTTTATCTTTCTAGTAGGCAGGGAGCTCTCTAATTTGAGGGAGAATTTGGCCTTGTGTCTAAAACGGGCATATATTTGAGGCTAAGTGGAGGAGTCATGTATCTTTCTTTTTTTGGAGAGGTTTTTGCTATAGGGCGCGTGTGCTTGCCAGACACAGAGAGAGAGACAGAGAGACAGAAAGTGAGAAATCACCCCCCGGGGGGATGGCCACGACGCAATCCCTTCTCCTCCATTCTCCTCTGGGGATCTTCGGCATGCATGCACACTTGCCAGGCATGAGTTTTTTTTTTTTTTTTCTTTTTTTTGAGAGATTTTTTCTATTGTGTGTGCGCTTGCCAGACAGACAGACAGATAGAAAGCAAGTAATCACACCCCAGGGGGGATGGCCATGCTACAATCCCTTCTCCTCCATTATCCTCTCGGGATCTTGGGCATGTGTGCACACGCGCCCGGCGTGAGTTTTAAGCTACTGGGTCGCGAACTGCAGTCGACTACGTGGGAGTCCAGCGACATTACACTAACTGCTGGTCCCGAGGAGTCATGTATCTTGAGGGCAGGGGAGCTTTATACAGGCAGGTAGCTGAAGTCACATCCCAAAATACTTACCACCTTTGCTTGTGCGGAGTTAAAACAAAAACAACACTTAAAACAAGAAAAATCCAAGTGTGGTTTGGAGCTAGACTTAAAACTCCAGGTGTCTTTTACTGCTCTCTTTGGTGAGATGTATAAGATTTATAAATGCTCATTATGTTGGCGAAACTGATGAGGGTAGATAATCCTGGCGGATGTTCAAAGCTTCTCTGTGTATATTATGATAGCTAACCTTTACACTAATTTGTGCCAGACACTCATAGTTCTAAAGAGCTGACCTGTATTAACATTCATAATATCTTATTAGGTGGAAAGTGTTAGCCTTCTCATTTGACAGATAAAAACAGGATCAGAGGAGCTCAGTAACGTATTCAGGGTTCTTCTGATGGTCAGTGCATGACTTCTTCACAGTGGGTGTTTGCATGTACAAATGACTAATGTGACCTTTTTTTTAACCTATCCCACAGGTAACAGCCATTTAAAAAATGTCCAGGGAGTGGTGACAAGTTTCTATGGTGATTATGGCTTAATTAGTGGGTCAATCTACTTCAGTTGTCATGTTGTGACTAACCAGGTGCCAGTAAAGGTTGGACAGAAAGTTAGAGTAGTTCTGGAAGAAGTTGCAGCATCTCATGGATTTAAAGCAATCAAAGTAAGATGTGTGTGTGTGTGTGTGTGTGTGTGTGTGTGTGTGTGTGTGTTTGGGCATTGTCTCTTTTTCTAATTATTGGATTCTGTATTACATTGTGAGACTTCCTTTTTTCAGATTAAAAAGTTTTTTTCTGCAATAAGAATTCACAGTAGGGGAATTGCTGTGTGAAATGATGTGCCTTTTGAACTTTTCAAAGATAGCTGTATTGAGACAGAATTTCTTTACCACAGACTGACTTTCAGAGTACAATACAGTGCCTTCTGTAGAATTGTAGTTTGTAGATTTACATAGGCCTGTAAGGCTCACCTGTGCTGAAATATTTACCATTTCAATGGCTATTACCAAAATATCCTTTAGCTTCATGGTAAGTTACTACCATGAGAGTCTCTCAGCAGCAGCCTAAAAGAATGCCTACTTGTAGGTGTTGACAAGGACAAGAATATTATCAACATGTAACCTTTGCAAATATGAGAAGTGAAAAGCAGTCTCTGAATATTATTTGGAATTTCATTTAATCTTAATGAGATTATGTCAGTTTTCTTAGAGCTTGTTTTAAAAAAAAAAAAGAAAAGAAAAGAAAAAAGAAAAAGACAACTACTTGGGACCAGCAGATGGAGTAATCATTATGTCACTGACTCTCACGTAGTCAATCGTGGTTCAAGTACTGGACCCAGTGTCTTAAAACTCATACTGGGCATGTGTGCATGCATGCCCAGAATCCCAAGAGGAGAATGGATGAGAAGGGATTGTGGCATGGCCATCCTCCCTGGGAGGTGACTTCTCACTTTCTGTCTTTCTGTATGTCTCTCTCTCCTGCAAGCGTATGTGCCTATAGCAAAAATCTCTCTCAAAAAAAAAAAAGGACAACTGCAAATACAAAGTTAAAAAGAGAAAGTAGTTTGTTGATCTTTCAAAGCTAGCACAAAATAAAGGTCAGATTCTGGAGCATATAGTCATCCCTCAATCCCTCAACAGGACCTGAGAGGAGTGAGGGACATGTCTGCTTCCTCTGAGGCAGTGGGTTTCTGGTTTGCTTTAGTCTGAAATAAAAGATATAGTAAGTGGGACCAGTAGAAGGCATAGCAGTTACATTGCTGGCCTCCAACGTGGCCATCTGTGGTTTGAGTCCTGGATCTGGTGGCTTGAAAATTACACTGGGCATGTGTGTCCTAGATCCCAGGAGGAGAATGGAAGACAAGGGATTGCAGCGTGGCCATCCTCCTTCAGGAGTGATTTTTCACTTTCCCTCTTGCTGTCTGTCTCTCTCTCCAGGGAGCACATGCACCCTAAAGCAAAAACCTCTTAAAAAAAAAAAGTATATTAAGTTATTTGGAAAGAGCTCACAAACAGAGAAGGGCCTGGAAGAGTGGAAAAAGGGACAAGATTGGGCAAAAGTAGAAGATATCTGAAGCAGTTTATTTGTTGTTGGAATAATAGTTCCTTCTTAGGGTTAGCAACATGCATGGCCAGCCTTGCAGGGGACTGCTGCAGGTGTTGATCATAAGATCGTCTCTGTGAAGGTCAGCCCTGCAGACAATAGGAAGTAATCAATAAGCAAATTGCCAGCAGCCCCTTTTTCCTTTCTGTGATGTCTTTGATTTTAATTTATTATAGTTACATTACTTATGGAGGAATTTTATCTTTACTGCCCTAATCTGACTTGCTTTTTAAAATTTTTTCCCCAGTGCTCTCCTTATTCAGAGTTACGTTTCCAAATTTATTTCATGCTTATGTACCCCAGCCTAGATCTTGAATATTATGGCTTTGTTCCCTATATCCTTTATTTGTTTGTTTTTCCTCTCCTTCTCCCTGTTCCTGTCCCCCCACCCCCATTTGCCAGATAAATCTTTCTCTTTCACAACACACGTCAAATCTTACTTCCAAGTAATCCCCTATTTTCTCCCAATCTGAAATGTTCTCTTTCCTGGGATTTAGGAGAAACCATTATTTAACACTATGTATCTTCCATTGCAAGTTACTTAGATTGAAAGCATGTCAGGGTTTTTTTTTTTGTTTGTTGTTTTTTGAGTGTAACAATATGAGTGCCTGAAACCTGAGTGAAAAATTCAGGTTTTCTGATGCATTTTAACAAAACATGAAGCACTGGCATTACTTTTACCATTATCTCATATCTGATATTTTTCTCTTTTTTTAAAGACTTATTTTATTTAACTTTATTTATTCATTTATTTATTTTAATTTGACCAGAGAGGGACAGAGAGAGAGAGAGAGAGAGAGAAAGTAAAAGTGAGAAGGCAGGCTACCAGGTCCAGGACTCAAACCACGGTTGGCCACATGGGAGTCCTTAACTACCACCCCACCTGTTGGCTCCCATATATGATCTTTTTCATGTGAAGTGTATTTACTTTAGTTCGGGATAGTGATTCAAAATAATTCTTGAGGGGTCAGCAGGTGGTGTAGTGTCTGAGGTGCTGGACTCCCACATGACTGACTGTGGTTCAAGTCCTGAACCTGGTGGCTTGAAATTCATGTTGGGTGCGTGTGTGTGCTTGCCCAAAAGTCCAAGAGGAGAGTAGAAGAGAAGAGGTTGCAGTGTGGCCATTACCTCTGATGGGTGATTTCTTACTTTCTGTCTCTCTGTCTTTATGGCGAGTGAATGTACCCTATAGCAAAAAAATCTCTCCCTTAAAATAAAAAAATAGTAAAAATAATTTTCATAATTCTTGAGCACCAATGGTTTAAGTGTATCTATCCAATTTTAAATGTTCTCTTGGAAGTAACTATTTTCTTATCTGACAGGTGGATGCACTCTGTGATGATATTGACGACCCTGGGTCATCAGAGCCTAAAACCAGAGTTTTGACTGCTTGTGTAACATCTGTTAGCACAGATGCTGTCTACATTAGTAAGAAAACTTACTTCTCCCTAGACATTGTTTCTGAAGGTATGATTTGCATTTTCAGGAAAATGTAATGCTGTGTTTATTGAGAGGACTTGATACAAAAACTTTTTAAGTAATTATGCTAAAGTTTCTCCATGGCTGTTTCAGATTTTATGCCTTATAATGGCGACTGGCTGGCCATTGAGTACTCCATCCTGCCAGGCACATACAACATCAAGGCACACTCAGTGAAGCCCATTGAACGTAGACATGTGGAGGAGGTAATTCATTTCTGTGTTGCACTGATCATTAGTTGCTTCTAAAGCTTCCTTTAGTGATAACTTTCTAAATAAGGATTTTATTGGATGTGCTGGAAAATGCAAAAAATATGTTTGCCAAACAAAATGTATTTTCTCATCGAAAAGGCAGGAACTCCGAAATGAAACAGCTAGAAAATAATGGAGGCCACATATATCAATAAACTCTACATTAGTATTAGGTCATTGGAAAAGTTATGTTGTATTTTTCTCTGCAAAAATGTGTCATGACTTTCCCGATGACTGAATAGTTTATTTGAGAGTAGAATGTTATTAGGATGTTCTGAGACCACAGGAAGAAAAATAATCAGTGTGCAAGAAAATTGCTGGGGGAAAAATGAGTGGAAAGTGATGTGGAATTGACCTTACTCACAAAAGTTGGGGATGATTTGGATAGTGCAATCTGGAAACGTAAGTGAAAGGAAAGTAAGTGAAGCAGAGGTTAATGGCCATTGTGGGTAATATTCAGAACAGACTTACTCATTGGACACCTGGGCCCTATTCATTCTCTGAGATGGAGTCAAGGCACAGGCATGTTTACTAAGCTCCTCTAGTGTTGACAGTGTGCCAGCCAGGCTGGGAATCAGTGATGGGATGCAGTGACATGCAGGTTAGAGCCTGAATGAGGAGATACTGAGCCTGTCCCAGGGCAGTATGTTTGTAATAATTGTTTCCATCATTGATCACTTCAGGTCTGCATCACCAGCCGACTTGGAAGAAATGGGGTGATAGATAATAATATCTTCTTCACCTTGGATTCTCTGGATCTTCCTGATGGATACAGTCCCCAGGTAGATGACCTTGTCAATGTGGTCATGGTGGAGAGTGTTCAGTTGTGCTATCTGTGGAGAGCAATTTCTTTGATCCCGGTGAAATTACTGTAATAGGTAACATTGCTCATTCCCTGTTTATATTTTCATATATGGGCAGTAAAGGGACTGGTTTAATTGAAAAACATCACTCAGTAAGTAAAAACAATATTGTAGACACAACCGTTATGTAAATCCAGTTAAGATACTGAATAGTTCACTTGGGACCATAAGTCCACTTTAGGGAAGTAAAAAGCATTAAAAAGCATGCTAAAGCTTGCTAGTTACTATAGGAAAGGTTTCTTAGAAATGATATTGAAATTAAATTTAAATGCCTCGTTTTTCATGACTAGGAGTGGATTTCATGGTGGCAGAGGCCTCATATGGCCCTGAAATAACCCTAAGATATAAAGCTTTTTACTGTAAAGGCAACAGAGAATGTTAATGGGCATGATTAAAAGCAGGAATTTGCTTTCCTCTTTGAGTTCCCACTTTGCTGCCTGTTCTAGTTTTATTGCTTCCATAGCATTTTTCATCTCCTGTCACCTACACAGTTTGTTATATTGTTTACCTGTTTCTTCTCTCATGATAAGATATAAACTTCACAAGGGCAGGATGTTTTTCAGTCTGCTTATTTCCTTTTATTAAGGCATCATCCAAAAAAATTACAAGGCACAATTAGACTGTGGTTAAATGTTGTTATATTCAATAAACGAATGCTTTCACCAGCAATAATGTTTTGCCATGGTTAATTCACCACCTCTTTCCCAGGGAAAATTATTTTTGAGCAGCCCATTAAGACCTCAGTTGATTTTCTGAACAGAAGCCTCTCCAGCTATGATGCACATGGCCCTCTATCATCCACTTTGTTGTAATGGTGTAGCCCATCACAGACTTGAATCAAAGGATAAGCCCAGAGCCCCTTGAAGGAAGGAGAAGCTGTTTACTCACAGGGAAGAATGGGACTAGTATCCCACAAGTGCAGCCCACAAAATATTGTGCCTTCCCCTACCAGAGCATTGAATCAGGTAGCTGTCATCTGAGGGAAGGACTGTACTCATTGGAAAATGGTTCTGGGCTCACTCCCCAGTCCTGTGATTCATAATCCATCCATAATCTCCTGGCCTAGGAGTTTGGATATGAGCTGCTTTACGGCTCTACCATGCCTTGCCAACCATTCATTGGTTAGTTTCTCATTTTAGAAGAAAGTGGAGGGGCAGGAGATGGCATAGCAGTTATGTCACTGGCTTCCCACATGGTTGACCATGGTTTAAGATACAGACCTATGGCTTGAAACTCACACCAGGCATGTGTGTATGTGCCCAAGATCCTGGGAAGGAGAATGGAGGAGAAGGGATTGTGGCACAGTCATCCCCTTCTCTGGGGTAGGGGGATGATTTCTTGCCTTTTCTTTCACTGTCCCTGTCTCTCTCTCTGGAGTGCACGTGCCCTAAGGCAAAAACCTTAAAAAAAAAAAAAAGAAAAAGAAAATTGAAGGTGTGAATATCTTGTAGAGTTCATTTTTTCCCTCACTGCTTCACTCCACAAACTCTTACTGATTGTGTTTTATGTGCCAGGCACTGGTCTAGGCACAAGAGTTAAACACAAAGGACAAATGCCAGGTGCTAATACGAATTGTGTTAATATCCCCTGGGCTTTCTGACCGTGAAAGAGTATCTCACAGGACAGAAAGGAGCAAGTGACAGCTGTGGTAGTTCCAGGTTCCCGTACAATCTTTGTTCTAAAGCAGCTCCATACTCAGTAGGACTCCAGGAGCAGCTGAGTAGTGGCCTACTTATAAATCTGTTGTCTTTGGGTGGGAAAGAAGTAGCCAAAACTGCAGAGATTTGCCCCCATGAACTTCTGGGGCTCCAGTGATCTCCTGTAGATCTTCCAAATGGCATATGTTGACTGGACTGCAGAAGCTCTGATACGTACATAGATGGTCCTTCATTCATTTAGGGATAAATTTAGTGAAGGAAAGGAAATGAGACAAAGTTATTCAGCAGGTCTGAGTCCAATTTTTTTTTTCCAATTTGGTTGAGGTGGTGAGAAGTAATGAGTCTACAGATAGGGTTTGAACCAATCAAGATATTTTGCTGATGGACAAATGGAATGTGTAAGAAACATTCAGGGAGCCAAGCATTATGGCAGGCACGTTATATTAACCCAGTGAGTGAACTGAGTTGATATTTTCTCAAATGAGGAAGATTAGGGACCAGCAGATGGTGTAATGGATACATTGTTGGACTCCCTCATGGCCGACTACAGTTTGAGTCCTGGACCCTGAGGCTTTAAACTCATGCCTGGCAAATATGCATGCATGCCAAAAATCCCAAGAGGAGAATGGAGGAGAAGGGATTACAACATGGCCATCCCCTCAGGGAGTGATTTCTTGCTTTCTGTCTCTGTCTCTCCAGCAAGTGCATGTGCCCTATAGCAAACAAATCTTTCTTAAAAAATAAAGATTATAGGAGAAGCAAACATTGGGTGCATTTCAGAACATGAAAATTGGACATGGTAAGCTCGAGATACCTGTGGGAATTCCATGTCTGTAACTCAGTATGGATGTGAAATAGCCAATGATCTTCAGAGCAGTATGGGACATGATGGAGATAAAAGTGATTGTTGTGGAATGAGGTTGAAGTGAGAGGTCAGGAAGTGAACATAGATGGTTCTTTTGTCATCATTTGTTGTGGGTGGATAAGGGTGCAGTGGAATGAGGCTGGAGGGAAGATAAGACCAAGGAAGATTTATCTACACACTTTTTTTGGAGAGGTTATTTGCTATAGAGTGTATGCACTCACCAGAAAGACAGAGACAGAGAGACAGAAGGTGAGAAATCACCCCCCAGGGGGGATGGCCATGTTGTAATCCCTTATCCTCGGTTCTTTCAGGATCTTGGGCATGCATGCACATGCACCCGGCATGAGTTTAAGCCACTGGGTCCGGCACTTGAACCGTGGTCAACTACATGGGAGTTCAGCGACGTAGCCATTTTGCCATCTGCTGGTCTCTATCTACACATTTTTTTTTTTTTGGGGAGGTTTTTGCTATAGGGCGCGTGCCCTCGCCAGACAGACAGAGAGGGACAGAGAGATAGAAAGCAGGAAATCACCCCCCAGGGGGGATGGCCACGCCGCAATCCCTTCTCCTCCATTCTCCTCTCGGGATCTTGGGCACGCACGCACACGCGCCCGGTGTGAGTTTAAGCCACCGGGTCCGGGACTCGAACCGCGGTCAACTACATGGGACTCCAGCGACATAGCCATTACACTAACTGCTGGTCCCTATCTACACATTTTTTAAAGATGGGAGTAATTTACATATTTTTTAAAGATGAGCAATTTAAGTGTGTTCATGTGTTGATTATTTAGGGAGAAAACTACTGTTGATGTAGGAGGACTAGAAGCAGTGAATATAGGAGCCAAGTCCTCATGAAGACAAAAGGGAATGGCGCCATGTGCTCAGTGGAGGAGTTGGCCCTGGGTAAGGGCTTGGATGTCCCTTTAGTGTTATAGAAGGGAAGGCAGGGAAAGCTAGGACAGGTGTCAGGGAGTTAATGCAGTATTTCTTGTCCCATGGCCTTTGTTTACTCAGTGAAGAAAGAGGCAAGGCTTGCTTATCTGTGTTTCACAACTTTTGTTTATAAGCTATTTGAGTAATTAAAAGTTGAAAGAGCATTCATTGTGCCCCTAAAATATACTCAAGTCCTAAGTTCCAGTAATATGGACATCCGGGGTTCAACAGTGTCTCTTGGTCCTTTCCATGTTACTTAGCAGTGTCTGTGGATTTTCATAGCTGGAAAACAGAAGACACTGGTACAAGATAATGATACATTGTGGTACCATTATAGATATAGCACATTTGTAATGGGGCAGGTTCTTTTCTGTTTTCTTTGTGAATTGACTTCTGTGCTGGTGAAGGCTTCTCTTCCTCTACCTCATTGTGTGGGCTCCTTTAGGCCTTCCAGAGGAAGGTGATGCTTCATTTTCTTAAAAGACCACCACCACCTCTCCATAGCTTATAGCAGTAGAGCTTCCCATTTTTGTCCTGGGGATTCTGATATGCAGGTCATGGCCCTGAAAATCATTATGGAAGTAAACCTGTCCCCAGAAAATACCTGAACTACAACCTGTCTGGTGCAATTCACAGGCCACCAGGAGTGCAATCATGAGACCTGTCCTTCAGACACAGCAGCAAGGGGATGGGGAGTTTTGGAAGGGGAGTGAGAGAGAGAGAGAGTTTAAGCACAACTTAAAGGTTCAATTCACGTTTGTCAGCTGCCCAAGCAGTTACAGCTCATCAGTGCTCTAGCCCATGGAAGGAGGACAGGACTCAGCTTTGCCTTTCAAGTTACTTTAATCACACAGGGAAAAGGAAGGCGTAGAAGTCATGATGGGGCGAGTGGTGTAGAGTGTCTTATGCTGGTGCAGGGATGGGGAGTGCAGTCCGCAATGGGGAGAGGGAGGCCAAGTGCTGAGTACACTGGGTGTCTACGAGGCACAGGCAGCGAGCCAGAGGTGAGCTCCTCAAAGATCTTAGAGTACGATGGTGGCGATGGCCACAAGATGACCGAGGGCGAGTGAGGAGGAAAAGTCCACTGGATGGTCCTAGAGTATGGAGGTTGGGGCTAGTGGCCCACAATGGGGCATCAAAGATGGTGGAGCGGAGGGCTGTCTGGGTGAGGAGTCAGTGTGCAAACCTGGACCTGCTGGTCCAGAGCTGTTTTTTTTTTGTTTGTTTGTTTGTTTTTGAGAGGTTTTCACTATAGGGCGTGTGCGCTCGCCAGACAGACAGAGAGAGACATAGAGACAGAAAGCGAGAAATCACCCCCCAGAGGGGATGGTCATGCCGCAATCCCTTCTCCTCCATTCTCCTCTTGGGATCTTGAGCATGCACACACACGTGCCCGGCGTGAGTTTTAAGCCACCGGGTCTGGGACACGAACCGCGGTTGACTACGTGGGAGTCCAGCAACATAGCCATTACGCTAACTGCTGGTTCCCCAGAGCTGTTTTTTTAAAGCACCATCATTGTTATTATTACTGGACAAGGAATATATATTAATTTCTTCTACTTAACTATATCCATATCAGTTGTCACTGACCCTCATTTTCATGAGGAAGTACCATCCTGTGATCATGATTCTAGTCCTGATCATCAGAATCATCATT